CACGCGTATAGTATCAGGCGTCAGTTGGAAAGCAACAGATCTAAGTTGGGCCACCCTATTTATATCGAACCTAGTATTTAGTAGTATGACGTCCGGCATCCTTAGGGTTTCGGGCCTATGGTTAACGGTATTTAGAAAAATAATGTGGTCACGAATGAAGGCGAAATTTCGAGTTCCAGGTGTATGCGTAAGTGAAGAAGAAGAGTCGTGAGTAACTAAGCTGTAGGCAAGTACTATCTGTAAAAAAGGTACTAACAGTTCCAGAAATATTGGCATATGGAGGGTGGCTGATAGGAAGATGTTAAATGTTTGGGTATACAGTTTTCTGATATCCAAGGTGTCAGAAGAGTTTGAACAAGAAGCTTGTTGGTAGTTAACGGGGAAGGAGGGTAGGATGGAAGGAAGATAGAGGTAAGTGGGGGCGAGCAGGTGGCCGTAGGAATTAACTGCGGGAAAGCCTGAGCTCTGATGGAGGTTAAGAATATTCACGTCAGAACTATTTGCACTAAGTTACGAGAGGCCTGAACAGTGACTAAGGTCAGAGTTGAAATGAATCACGTCAGGACTATTGGCAGTTGAAATAAGAGGTCCTAGACTGATGCCCTGCTTGTCAAACAAAGCATTACTTCCATATATAATATGGTCTGCGGCGTTCAAAGATGAGATGGACTGTGAAGACTAACTGGTTCGAAAAGATGACAGCGGTCCACTAACTGCCGACACAAGCGAAGATGCGAGTCCCAGGAACTAGTTGATCAAGAGGAATCAATCGCTGGAACAAGGGCTTTATTCGCCTGACGTTTCGGATTCTCACTTGAACCCATCAGAGGCAGAGGCAGAAAAGGGTGACTCGTGCACAGGAAGTTGCAGTATTTATAGGATGCAGTCGCTATGCTACTGCACACCTATAGCAATTAACCGCGCTCCCCTTCATCAAGCATTGTTTCCCGCTGGTGCGCTAATTGCTTGATGGCCGGCATGCAAGTTGTTAATTGCTGAAATCTCATCACCCGTGTTGGATGCTGGCGTGATGATTGTTCGGTCATCTGGCTCACCGGCTTGCGCGCTCCCCGAGTGATCAATTACTTTGGCCAGCCTGTGCCTCAGCACGGAATATGGAATGGGGATGCCGTTGCACTTGTTGATAGACTGAAGTCCCGTGAACCATGACTCATGCAACTCGCGGCTAATGCGATTATCCCCTCTTGCGAGAATTTCGGCCTCATCGAACTTCAATGTGTGGCTGGGTCTCGTCGAATGGGCCGCGACCTGAGAGTTGGCGTCATTTCTCCGTATCGCTCAAAGGCATTCCAACGTACGGACTGGCAAAATGGCTGTTTCGTCGCCTCAAATTTCTGACCGCTGATTCGGACACCACTGTGTGTTCGTCAACACAACTGGAGAAGCTTAAAGGAGTAAGTCTCTTGCCAAATGAGGTCATGGTATCTTTTGATGTCACGTCCCTCTTTACTTCTATCCCCCCAGGATCTGGCAATCGAGACCATCGAGCTACTCCTACGAAGCAAATACAATGAAACGGAGAATCGTCTCGGACATGCCCAAGTCCTTCAGCTCCTAAAGTTCTGTCTCAGAACGTACTTCACGTTTGACGGAACAATCTACGAGCAAGTGAAGGGAACACCAATGGGTTCGCCGTTTTCGGGATTCATCGCCGAGGCGGTCCTACAGTGGTTAGAGTCGCTGGTCTTCCAACACCACAGACCGAAATTCTGGGCTCGGTATGTGGACGATACCTTCGTCGTCATCGAACGGGATCAGGTGCTAACGTTCAAAGAACGTCTCAATAGCGTCTTCCCGGACATACAATTTACGATGCAGAAGGAGGAAAATAACCAGCTGGCATTCCTTGATGTCCTCGTCTGTCGCAAATATTTTGGTGGCCTAAAGACCAAAGTGTTCAGAAAAGCGACGAACACGACGCAAATACTGAACTTCAACAGTAACTACCCAATCAGTCACAAACGCATTTGCGTAGCACGCCATATCAAGGTGTTGAGACGCACTGCAGTGAACCGGAAGACAAGGATGCCGAATCCCAGTATCTTCGACGAATTTTCAGAGAAAATGGTTACCCGCGTAACCTCGTCAACCGGTGCTTGCGCAACCGACACGAGCGACAAAATCGTGCCGACCCCAAATTCTGGCGAGCGATCCCGTACATCAAGAACGTCTCCGTGGCCGTTAGTCGCCTTCTTGCACCACTTGGGGTTGGAGTTGCGCACAGACCGGAGGTCACCATAAGGCGTCAGGTGATGAGACCAAAAGACCCACTGCCACTACAAGACACATCTGGAGTCGTTTACCGGATCTGGTGCAGTTGCGGACAAAGCAACTACGTCGGAGAAACTGGAAGACTGCTCCGTACGCGAATTTCCGAACACATGGCAGCGGTACGGAGAAATGACGCCAACTCTCAGGTCGCGGCCCATTCGACGAGACCCAGCCACACATTGAAGTTCGATGAGGCCGAAATTCTCGCAAGAGGGGATAATCGCATTAGCCGCGAGTTGCATGAGTCATGGTTCACGGGACTTCAGTCTATCAACAAGTGCAACGGCATCCCCATTCCATATTCCGTGCTGAGGCACAGGCTGGCCAAAGTAATTGATCACTCGGGGAGCGCGCAAGCCGGTGAGCCAGATGACCGAACAATCATCACGCCAGCATCCAACACGGGTGATGAGATTTCAGCAATTAACAACTTGCATGCCGGCCATCAAGCAATTAGCGCACCAGCGGGAAACAATGCTTGATGAAGGGGAGCGCGGTTAATTGCTATAGGTGTGCAGTAGCATAGCGACTGCATCCTATAAATACTGCAACTTCCTGTGCACGAGTCACCCTTTTCTGCCTCTGCCTCTGATGGGTTCAAGTGAGAATCCGAAACGTCAGGCGAATAAAGCCCTTGTTCCAGCGTTTGATTCTTCTTCTGATCAACTAACTGGCAGTAAGCTGCCTTTCGTTTGGGGTGAGGGCAGACGTCTCTGAAACACGCTCTCTCTACTATATGGCTCAAAAGATTTAGCAGAAATGCAAGGAGAACTACGCTGGGATGTATTTATTGGTCTGCGCTTTTTTGATAGGATCATGGACACTACCGGAATGGTTAAAAACGACTGCGGTAGCACTTATCTCGAGGCGGAAGGCGTTATTAATTTAGTTGGAAGAGAAGAAGAAGTGAAGAGGATTACTGGGGCGGGCTTTTGAGGTGTACAACTAACCAGTTTGTTGGGTTGGCAGTACTATGACCGGACTTATGAGCATTAGGCTGAAATGTTGATGATCTTTTTGAGAGGAGAGACCCATTTCCATGACCCACCAGTGGTTGATAATAACCAAAAAAGAATTTTGCTTTTTCCAAATAAGAAGTGCGATCTTGGTGGGGCGAAGAACGAGTCCACCTCGATTGGCGAAAAAACCCAAACTAGGGTAAGAAGATTTTTCTACCTCTAAGGAGAGTCGTTTTGGGTTCGCTATTTCGTAGTTGGAGTCGCATAGGTACATGAACTCGACAGCAGCATCAACTGGGAACATTTTTAAAAGTGTCCTCTTTTCTGTTTAGAAAACGCCTCACTGGTATTTAATTGAGCGAACGAGTCAATTCGTTCACATTCGTGGGAGGGAATATCAGAAATGCTACTGTCGAATAGACTCCCATGAATGAAGAGAACCAATAAAATTTTTATCATGGCGTCATTGCAGTTATATAAAACGGACGGTTTAAGCTCTTTAGCTTTAACAACGGGTTGCAAATAACCATCAATGCTTTGGCTGCTAAATGCACCCAAGCACAGAGGAACTGCATGAGGACGGAGCCAAGGCACACACCTCCCACTTGCGTGGGAGGTGGCAATTGGACGCTTGTGGCGGACGGTGATGTTGCGTGATGTACCTGAAGGAGCATGCGATGGTGTGGTTTAGCCGGTTGTTGTTTACCACAGGTTTTCCTGAACGCGCATGTGGCCTTATAGACCCATGCGGTAGATGAATGTGCGGGTGCAGCAAGGGCTGTTGAGGCGGATGCGTTAGGTGGATATTGGTGCTCCACGTACAGGTTCGCCAGTCACTGTGCGATGGATTCGCAAATGACCGACCAGACCGGTGTGAGCAGAAGGTGCGATCGCAGTGAGGACAGGTATGAACTGAGTCTACATCGCTGATTGTAGCTGTAGTGATGTTGGCATTTGACGGTGCGTTAGGATTGAGTGCAGTGGCGGTGAGTGCAGGAGCCGTCGCGGCGGATGTTTAGGCGACGGAGGGGGGGGGGGTGGTACAGATGTGCGGTCAGTGTTGATTACCGACGTGGGGGACGAGGCAGATGTGGACGGGGGGACATCGGGTGGGGTCGTCCGGGTGCTGTAATTGGTACGAAGTCGTCCAATAAGACCGATCGATGCATGGAACGTCCGCCGGCATAGTAGGCAGGTCGGGGGCGGTCGATTGTTGACGTTGCGAGGCGGGGGCAGTTGAGATTTTCGGGCTTTGCGTTTGGCTTTGGCGTCGGTGATGCGGTTGGCTTAGTAAATCCCTGCGCCTGTCTTCACTGCTCTCCGCGAGGCCGTCGGTCTCGGGCGATGCGCAGGCGCCTCACGGAAGTCTTCAAGGTATCCTTGTTGCGCTGCACTTGACCTCCTTGCCCGCAGGAACTCGTGGCGACATCTCCGTAAAAGAGTCGTTTGGTAACCGCTCGTCGTCCATCCGCAAGAGGAGGTCACTCCAGCGCAGTTGCAGTTGTCTGAACATGGCGCAGATGCTGAGGATTCCCGTCCGCTCAAGTAAATCAGTGTCGGGGATCCGGTCCTGCCACCTTAGCTTTATTATCCGTCGGAGACAGCTGAGGTGGAAGTGACTGAGCCTCTGCGCCTGTTTTTGCAAACCGTCCAGGTCTCCGCTCCGTAAAGAAGCGTCGGCAGGGTGACCACTTTGTACATCTCCAGTTTCGCGTTAATGTAGAGACCGTGTCGACTCCAAACTGTGCTTCACAGACGGCCGAAGGTTTGGCTGGCTTTGGAAATGCGACGGGTCACTTCATCATTGATTTTGGTGCTGCGGGAGAGAGTGCTGCCCTGATAGGTAAAGTTGTTTACGACTTGTGGTTGGGCGCCGTTTACGTTGATTTTGGGTGCGACGTAGGTAGCGTCGAGTGGCCATTGATGCATATCCACCGTTTGCTCCGTGTTGATGACCAGGCCGAAGTTGTCACAAGCGGCGGTGAAGACGTCCATGCTCCTTCGCACGTCCTCTTCCGAGGTAGCGTTGAGGACGCAGTCGTCGGCGAAGAAAAGTTCATGGACGGTCTTTGTGGATACACGCGACTGGAAGTACATCCGTCGGTGGTTGATGAGTTGGCCGTCCATCCTGTAGGCGATGCCGATCCACGGGCAATCGTCACGGTAGGCGTCCATCGGCATGGCAGAGAACATGAGAATGAATAGGGTAAGCGCGAGGATGCAACCCTGCTTCACTCCGGTGGCCACTACGAATGTCTCAGAGACAGCTCCATTGTCCGTGACTCGTGCCATGATGCTGTCATAGAGCTGACGCATCATTTGAGTGAATCGTTCGGAACAGCCGAATTTCTGCATGATTTTCCACAGTCCTTCATGATTCACCATGTCGAAGGCTTTCTTCAGATCTACGAAAATGGAGTAGAGGTGGGTCCGCATCTCCTGACATTTCTCCTGCAGTTGACGGGTGACGAACATTATGTCGGTGGTCCCACCATGACGGCGGAGCTGCACTGGTTTTACGACGGGAGACATTGTTCCAGATGGTGGTTCAGGCGGTTGAGGAGAATGCGAGCGAAGATCTTCCCAGCGGCTTTCAGCGGTAAGATGTCTTGATGGACGTCGCAGAGCTGACGATTACCTTTCCGTTTATAGAGGTGGACGATTGTGGCGTCCTTGAAATCTTCTTGGAATTCTGCTTGACGACATATCTTCTGGAGGAGCTCCGTCAGATGATCCGTGTATCGTGGGCCAACTTGCTTTAGATTTCAGCAGGAATCGCGTCCGATCCGGGCGCTTTACCGCTGGAGAGCTGCTACGCGGCCCTGATGGTTTCGTGGAGAGAGGGCGGGAGATCAATGTCGACGTTAGCCTCCACTTGAAGCAGACAGGCGATGACGGCGTCGGAGATGGTTTAGCGCCGTTTTAGGACGCTTCTGAAGTGCTCGACCCATCGCTGACGAATTAGTGTCTTCTCAGGTAGTAAGGCACTGCCGTCGGCGCTGAAAAGAGGTGCAGTATCTTTGGCTTGCGGACCGCAGACAGCCTTGATCGAGGAAACGAAATTCTCCAATTCGTTGCGATTCACGTAATCTCGGATCTCCCCGGCCTTGTGAGCCGTCCAAGAGTCCTGCATCTCGCGGAGCCGCTGTTGCACAATCCGGCTACTATGATAGAGGGCTGCTTTGTTGTCGTCGGCAGGGCGGGTGACATAAACTTTGTGCAGACGGTTCTTCTTGGCGAACAGGTTGCTGACGGCGGCGTCATCGTCAAACCAGTCCTGCTGTTGGCGTCGTAGGTAACCGAGGACAACTAGGGCCGTCGACTGGACTGTGTCCCGCAATTTACACCATCGGTTCTCTATGGAGGCATTCTCGTCAGCGACCACGACGCCGACTGAAAGGCCGACTAGACGTTGAGCAAGGTCATTGACGAATTAGATATGGTTGGCAGGCAAAGACAACAGAACAATATTCAGCTTACTGTGAGGTCTCCTGTGAAGCCGTAGGCGAGTCCTCGTCTTCGAGATGAAAAGGCGATGGTTGGTCTACTCGTTGGCACCCGGAATCACCTTTGTCACCAGCACGTCCAGCCAGTCTCGCCTTCGGATGAGAATATTGACCAGCAGGCGCCAGTGTCGCGACCGAGGATGCATCCAAGTGACCTTTTCTCGAATCGGTAGGCGGAAGTAGATGTTGGTCAGGGTAAGCCGGTGTTCTGCGCAAGTTCCTATGAGAAGCCGCCCATTGTCGCTGGCGCCATGGAGACCTAGTACTCCTCGCCAGGCAGTATGATCTGTGCCAACGCGGGCGTTGAAGTCACCAAGGACAATCAACTTGTCCGCCCTCGACGCAGTCGTCAAGAGGGCGTGCAGGTCCTCGTATAATTTGTCTTTGACGGCGTCGGGGCTGGTCATCAGGGGTGAGGGCGTAGACACTGACGATGATGGCGAATTTGCCTCCCGGAAGAAGCAAGCGGTCGTTGGTGCCCTGCGGCAGACTGGGCAGACGTCCCACGATATCGTTCCGGATGGCGAAGGCGACACCCGCGTCTCGTCGCTCTGCCCTGGGTCGACTACTCCAGAAAAAGGTGTAGTCGGCACCCACCTCCTCCAGTTGGCTTTGTTCGGAGAATCGAGTCTCGCTGAGTGCGGCGATGTCCACCTTGTATCGCGCCAGTTCTCGTGCCACTAGCGCCGTCCTCCGTTCCGGTCGGTTGCTCCTCAGAGTGTCTAAAAGGGAACGAAAATTCCAGGCCGCCATAGTGAGCGGACTTGCCCTACCTGTATGGCGAGTGGGGCGGTGGGGAATAGAAGGGGGGAAGAGAGAGTGCTGTTTCTTGTTTGATTGTTTCGACCGTGTATTTTGAGTCTGTGAGCCACGATCAGCGAGTAGAGTACGTGATCTCAGCATTTGTTAAGGACACCTTTTCTAGCCCTTTCCCCCTTGGGGGGGGGGGGGGGGTGAGCAGTGCTGTCCCTTAATAGGGTTGTTAAGACACCCCAGACGATTTCCGAAATCCACTATGGGCCACAGACTTTGTTTAGTGGGAGACGATCCAAGTTAGACTGCGCCTCCCTACGACATCGCCGCAGGAGTTGATGGGAGGGGGATGTGATGGGAGGGTAGAGAGTAGGGAAGCAGGGCTTTCCCGTTCCTCTCTAAGCGAACTAATTGCTGAAGTATAAACGGGGCATAGGATATTTCAAGAGAACGTGTTCAAGAGAACAGCAATTAGTTTACAACAAGGACAAACACAGACAAGCAGACAATGAAGGCAATAAACTTACCTGGGGTCACTTACATTGTTGCTTCCAACGGGGTTGCGGACGAACCATCATCTCGCATGTGACGATTCAGTGATCTGTGGGATTTCCGACCCTGTGGTTAGGGTAGGACAGGGCAGAGGGTAGATTGAGTGAGGGACAAAGAAGGGCCGAGAATAGGTGTGAGGGAGTAGAAATGGGCCGCCCTCCATTCACTAAGTCAGGAGCTTGTTGACTGCTTGTGGACTCCTACGGGGTTACAGACGGAGCCTCATCTCGGAGATGACACGGCGGTAATCCATCCGGCCAACGATCGCGAGAGCAGAGCCGAGTTACCGTGCACGGAGACGCACGCAAGGATATCCTCACCACCAAGGATATACACCACCACGCCTGGTATAAACACGCCTCTATCGACTCCCTCAGCAACCCCTAGTAAGCCTAACCATGTGTCGAAGTCAAAGGCAAATCCAATTGCTGCCTCAGCCACTCGGACACCCGATAAATCCAGCCCCATTATAAAATGTTTTCCTCCACAATCGGCGAACAGTGCCTCAAATACCCCGACTCAAAACGTACCGTGTTCCCAACTGCCCCCCAGCCCTCATATCGAGGCAGTTAGGCCGAATATGCCGATTTTCCCACCGTTTAATAGACCTCTTGTTCCAATGGAAACAATGCGTCCCCCACCCCCTAACCTCTTTCCATCACGGCCGTTTTATCAATGTATTCGTCATGCTAATGTCCATACTGGACCAGTTAACTCATCCGATCTTCAGTTTCGTTCCGGCGGGAATGTGTTGCAGTATCTGCCCCGCGGATTTCCAGCTGAAAATAAGTTAGCTAACAATGGTTACCAGTTCACCTGCCCGTCATTCCCTCCCCCAAGTCCTACCCCTTTTTATCCACGTCAGAATTTTTTGATGCCACAAAATGTTTTGCAGAACCGGATGTTTGCATCCGGACCGTTTGCTCCGTGGGCAGCCCAGAACTGGACGATGTAACCCACTTCCCTCAGAAACAAACAGCCTTTCCCTTCAAACTTTTTGTTTTAAATGCCAGATCCTTGCTTAATAAGATGCCTTTGCTTCAGAATCTGGTGTTCGTCCATTGTCCAGATATTGTTTTAGTAACTGAGACGTGGGCATCAGCCTCAGTAGCTGACTCCGAACTCTCTCTTCTAGGCTACAATTGCATTCGAAATGATCGCCAAGATAGCCGTGGTGGGGGCAGCTGCGTCTACGTTAAGCAAACACTTACATTTTTGCCGTTGGACTTCCCGCACTTTTCCGCAGTAGAAGGCAGCTGCTGGCTCCAGGTTGCACTAAAAAATAAGTTCTCCTTACTCGTTGGCTGCGTCTATCGCCCTCCCAACGCCAATGACAATTTTGATCGTTTACTCTCACAGGCATTTCATGCTGCGGCCGACTTAAGCTTTAAGTATCAATTGGTTGCGGGTGACTTTAATCTCCCTGAAGTCCGCTGGTCTCCGCCTTCAGGACCCAGAAGGTTCGATGACTTTCTTGAGGTTGTGGATGTTGGGATGTGGAATCAGGTTGTCGATTTTCCCACCCGAGGCTCAAGTATACTTGACTTAATTTTCCGTATAGGCTGCTTGCCATCGTCAGTGTCACCCCTAGGCCCACTCGGGGGCTCAGGCCATGACATAGTTGTTTCAACGTTGGAATTCGAGGCTGACGAAATTTCGTCCCAAAAGTATAACTTTTTCCGCGATTTCCGATCAACTCGCTCAACCGAATTATTAACACACCTTAATTCCTACGACTGGACTGATTTCTTCCTTAGTTCGGATATAAATGTTTGCACTGCAAAACTGTACGAAATTTTGGATCCGCTTATTTCTCGTTTTGTCCCCCGTAAGAAAATTATTAATGTCGGGGATGAGATCTTCCTACCCTTACCCTTTCGTCGCAGATTGCGCAGACTTTATCGTCGTTTCCATCTGCAGAACGATGTTTCTGTTCTGCCCTTGATTTGTGATATTTTTGATCGAGCTAAGAGATTGTCTGAAGAAAAACAGCTAGCCGAAGAGGTCCAGTCTACCGAAAACCATTCGTTAAATGTCTCGAAACTTTTCTCTAAAAAAATACGAACTCAGAGAAAGACGCAGTATTCCATCCTTCGAGACGATCTCGGAAATCCCATAGTTGATGCCCAGTTAACCGCGGATAGCTTCAATGATTTCCTGTCCAAAACGTTTATTGCAGACTCGACCACTCCGCTTCCGACCATCCAGTCATTAACCGGGGCAGTTCTAGAAACTATAAGTTTCACTCTGTGGGATGTGACTGTTGCGATTCGGCGTTTTCGTCAATCTTATAGTCCAGGCCCTGATGGTGTCCCTGTAAGCCTTTTAAAAGCCGATGCAAACAAGATTTTCCCATCCCTCTTATGCAAGATATTTAATCTCGCTCTTGAAAGTGAAACTTATCCTACCTTGTGGAAGGAATAACACATTTTGCCCATTCCTAAGCACGGCAAATCTACATCATTTGATGACTTTCGGCCAATAAACACCCTCCCCGCAGTTTCGAAGATCTTAGAGACATTGATCAAAGAGAAGATGATGTCTCACTTAACAGTGAATAATTTGCTAAGTGCTGCTCAGCATGGATTCCTCAAAGCTCGATCTTGTGACACCTGTCAACTCTCCTTCTTTGACTATGTTCTTCAATCTAGGGACCATGGTTTTGCTCTTTACACAGTATATTTCGATTTCACTAAGGCTTTTGACCGTGTTGACCCTGCTCTTCTTCTCTTGAAATTGTCCTCTTTCGGAATAGGTGGCAAACTTTTGAATTTTATATCCTCTTATTTAGGCACTCGCACACAACGTGTTAAGATTTCCAATACCATCTCCAAGCCCACACGTGTGAGGAGTGGGGTAGTGTACTCGGCCCGCTTTTATTTTGCCTTTTCGTTAATGATGTACCCGATTTATTTCAGAATGGTAAGCCTTTCATGTATGCCGATGATCTTAAAGTTGCATATCGATATAGGCCGGCAGATCATGACATCGTGCTTGAGCTCCTAAAGAGCGATCTACAGGCTTTCGCCCAGTGGTGCCGCACATGGCGCCTTTCTCTTTCTTGGCATAAGTGCTCAGTCATGGTGGTTGGCGACGACCGCCCACCTCAACTAAGTATTGAAGGTCACGTCATAAATGTGCCTGGGGTTATTAAGGATTTGGGCGTATCATACTCCAAGAGTCTCAATCTCTCGGAGCACTGTGCCTTGATAGTCTCCAAAGCACGTAGAACGACCGGGTTTATCCTCCGAAATTTTAAAACTAGGGACATTAGAATGCGCCTTTTCAACATGTGCGTTAAACCTGGTCTGGAATACTGTTCGTTTTCATTTAGCCTCATGCGTGCTACTGAGCGGAAGAAAATAGAATGCGTTCAACACTTTTTTACCAAGAGAATTTTAACCCCGGAACACCGACATTTGTCTTACCAAGAATGTTGCCGGCTTACAGGCCTCGATCCTTTATGGTTCCGTTGATTACAAAAGGGACTATTTTTGCTATTTTAACTCATATATAATCACACATTTAACCCACTTACCTCTTTAAGACATCATATTCACCCACGACGTAACAGTCACCGTGAAGTCTTTTTATTTCTGCCTCTGGTACGTACTGTTAAATATCGTCGGTTCTTTTCTGCAAATGCAATTGTTATTTGGAATAAACTACCCATGAGTGTGAAAACTCTGCAAAATTATCCTTTATTTAAGAGAACTATTACTCGATTTTTGCATTCAGAAAAGCTCCCACAAATTTTGCGTGCTGAAAACTCTGATCGACTGTACCGTAGCGATGGCGTTTGTGGTCTCTGAACACTATGGCTGGTCTCGCCAGCTGTTCCTCAACGCCTCTACTTTGGCTATCCCCAGCTTCATGAAAGGAATTTGACGTCCGATAATCTCCGATACCGTGCAACCTCCCCCCTTCTTGACGGTCGATATTCTACCACCGCCGGCAGTTTTTTCTCCTGAGCCCTCCAAACCATAAAAACCACCATCAACTATATTTTTATCCCTTTAGCTAAGGAGTTTTTTTTCACTGCTGGTCGGATTTATGTTTAATCGCTTCCCTTGACAATGCCTGTAAACTGGCATTAAATAAAAAATTTTTTTGTTTATTTATGTTTAGCCTGCCGGTCGAGGTGGCTGCAGGGGTGTGACCGTTGGGCAGAGCCTAGCTTCGGGGAGCCAAACGTGAGAGTTGAGTGTAGACAAATGGACGCTAGGCAAGCCTACACCTGCAAGCAAGTAAGCGACCTGCCACGACCGTCATTTGGACTCACAACTGGAAATTCCTACACCCCCAAATACGTATGCATATATATACTCCTTCCGCGACCTACTGACATTTGACCCTATCCCGTCTCGCTTTCGGCGAAACTGCACCGAGTGCGAAGGTCGTTTTTTGCTACGTATCTCCTCCAAAGTTCGTTTTCCCAGTTCAACTCT